CCTCAGCGCTGTGAAAGCTCCTCATATCCCCCTGGGAATCACTCCATATCCCCCCAAGGGGATCGCCTCAGCCCTGGGGAATCTCCTCATATCCCCCCGGGAATCACCCCGTACCCCCCCAAGGGAATCACCTCAGCCCCAGGGTTCACCTCAGCCCCTCCGGGGATCACCTCAGCCCTGGGGAATCTCCTCATGTTCCCCCCAGGAATCACCCCATAAACCCCCCGAGGAAACCACCTCAGTCCCGGGCATCGCCTCAGCCCTGGGGAACCTCCTCGTATCCCCGCGGGAATCACCGCAGCCCTGGGGATCACCTCAGCCCTCCCAGAGATTGCCTCAGCCCTGGGAAATCTCCTCATATCCCCCTGGGAATCACTCCATATCCCCCCAAGGGAATCGCCTCAGCCCTGGGGAATCTCCTCATATCCCCCCGGGAATCACCCCGTACCCCCTGAGGGAATCACCTCAGCCCCGGGGGTCACCTCAGCCCTCCCAGAGAAACACCGTGGCCCCATCCCGTGCCCCCCAAGCCCCCCCAGGGATCCCGTGGCAGGGAGGGCCCCACTCACCCCTCCGTGTCCGGGGGCTGCCGCCCACAGCACCGGCCCAGCGCCTGCCGCCGGAGGATGAGGCAGGTGGCCCCGGCAAGGACGAGCAGGAGGAGGCAGGAGCCCAGCACCGGCCAGGCCAGCGTCACGTCCTCCAGCACTCGCTGCAGGGAGAGGCCTGGCAGGAGACAGCCCAGCTGGCAGCGGGGCCGGGACCGCCACCCTCCCTGCCTGCACCGGGGACCCCGGCCCGGCACCCATTCCCACCTCTCTGGGGGTACTAACCGCCGTCTGGCACCTGGAGGCCACTGTCGATGCTTCCCCCGATGTGGGATCCCTTCTGCAGGCAGTCAGGGGGCTTCCAGCCAGGGTAGCAGTGGCAGTGTCTCTTATTATTGCACACCTGAAAAGCCCGGGGGCGAGGGGTGAAAGTTTGCAATGAATTCATGCAACGGATTCTCCTGCCCAGACCGGCATCGGGCTCGCTGCCACTGGTCGGGTTGGGACAAGGCTACGTGCGCTTATTGGCATTCTGGCAGTTTAGAAGGCGTATCAGGCAAGGAACGCACCATGAAGCACAGGCTCTAATAGCCGGGAGACGTTGAACAAGCATAAAACATCACCCCCCTGCAAAACCCGCGTGCGTTTCTGGCTGATGAGCAGAAAACAGGAGCGGCTTGCCCCGGCCGTCAGCGCTGCGGAGCCAGGTGGGGGTCCAGAGAGCCCGGCAGCCCTCCCTGCATCGCAGGGCGGCTCTCCTCCCCCTACAACCACACAACATTTTTATCTGCCGGCTCCCTTGCCCTCAATTCTACGTCCCTTCTATTTTGCTTTCTTCCCCGCCCCCCTCTATAAACCAAACAAACCATCAAATTCTCCATTTCAGTGAACAAAACTGCCGCTATATTTTGATACTGGTTTTAGGACCAATAGTTTAAATGGTTTCCCTCCACGTACCAGCCGACCAGGGCATGATTTTGTAGCGGATCGGCCCAAAATGGCTCTGCAGCCAGCTCCCACACGAGCCACAGCAAACACGCGCGACAAAGCCACCCGCCCTCCGCAGCGACTTACGCCGTGGCCGTGGCACTTCACTTTGCTGTCGCAGTCATATCCCAGCACCGAGTGTGGGTGACAAGTGGTGTTGATACACACCTAGGAAAAACCACAGCGGCTCCAGCCCGGCGTTGCTTTACCACCGCAGCACTCGGCGCGTCAGTCTTTTGTCCCAAAAGGGAGCGAAAATACGCTACTTCTAAAAAACCTGTGCTTTTAAAAAGCTACGTATCCTGCCTTGGGGTTGGGTTATGTCTAATGTTTACGCCATGCCAAACGTTTAATGTCACGTTTGCGTGTTTTTACAGTGTTTGTAAATATCAAGTGCAGTTATGCTGCAAAGGAGCAAATATTCCTAAAAGCTTTTTATCATTTACAATTTATACCTGACATTTTAGATCATTATAAAATGTTTTCTTACCTTTCCAGAACCACACTTTGTACCCGGCGGAACCAGAAGAGGATCCAGCCTTGCTGGTGCATTCAAGTAATCCAAAGATACACATAAATGCTCGCGCACTTGGACGTAAAGAACGGCGGCGGCGGCTGATGCAAACGGAGTGCTGTACGGGTACGTGCAGATTAACTTTCCACACCTGAGATTCCTATAAAATCGGTTTGCATAGGATGCGTATCACACGCACTTACACGGCTACGTATGTGCTGCCTGATGAAACACTAAAACCACTAAACAGCACAACGCACGTCGGGAGCGCTGCGTGATAAGAAAAAAAAGCAGCAGGACTGGGAAGTCCAGGACACGATCTGCAGCGTAAGGGGGGACGCCGTCCTGCTAACAAGGAGAAGCACGCGTAACCCCGCCGATTGCTCCACAAATCTTGCTGTCAGCTGGAGCCTCGGTACTTGCCTTGTCTGCAAAGCCCCGATTCAACGTGCACGTTTGTGCCCTTTCCCTGGCGCCTACCTCCAAGCACAGGACTTATAGCCTTGTCTGGGCTGGAACCCGCAGTGTCCAAATCTGTCCTGCTGACTATTGAGTTCCTCGTAACAAGCCACAGGAGCATTTTTTGAACCTTCAAGTTTAGCAGTAACGTTTATTATCATTTAAAGGAACACAAAGGGACGTATTATGGTATCTAATAACTTCCTAATTCTTCACCCTGTTCACAGCAGAACATAGATGCTGTTCACTAATTAGAGAAAACGCAATACCTGTCCTTGAACTGCCAAACCCGCAGCAGTCCTGAACTCCAGAAACACGGGGTTAGCAAGCCGCGGGTCAGCTCTCTGGCTAAGTGCACTCACAGACAATAATTTGCTTTTTTTGTTGCCGTTTTCATTGCTATCGCTGAATAACCGGGAGAACTATGTGCTACTGAAGTGCATATTAACCAGATTCAAAATGGAGCTTGAAAAGCTTGCTAAAGCTGCGTCCTTCCCTCCTCGGGTGCCGTGCCCGTGCCACCCCTCTGCCCTCCTTTTGGGCGCTGCACCCACCCTCCCCAGGCACCCCAGCCCCCGCTCTCCCTCCTGCCCCCAGCCGCCCGCACAAGGAGAAGCCGGGGTGCAAGGCACAAGTCTTGCGCGAGCACTGTGCCTCCTCGCCCCTCGGGTACGTTCAAGTGCGGGCCCCAAACCCCCTCCTGCTTCAGCAGGTGCTTGAAATTGGGTTCAGGCTCCCAGGGAAGTATCCGACATGAGCGAGCAACCAACCACAGCCCTCATTTCCACTGAAACCAGGCTGAAAAGACACAGTGAGACCAGCCTGAGACTGGTGCATTAGAGAGCAAAGACACAAACTGAGTATTGTTACTACTGCAGCCACCTCCTGCACCTGGGCAGCACCAGTAGCACCAGTGCAGCCAGAGCAGCCCCTGCTACCTCTCCCGTAGAGCCGCCGGCACTGCAGGTCCGTGGGCATCCATCGTGCTCGGATGCCGCTTTCTGCCCTAGACCAGCCCTGGAGCTTGACGTCAGCACGAGTGACGATGGAGCTGCCCGTTACCTCTCCCGTAGAGCCGCCGGCACTGCAGGTCCGGAGACTGGCAGCGTCCCTTGTAGCAGTAGCCGGTGCCGTGCTCACAGCCGTGCCCGTCCTGCACGTACAGGTCGGGGGGGCAGGACGCGGAGGCCCCGGTGCAGAACTCGGCCAGGTCGCACTGCGCATCGGCGGCGGGGCGGCACCGCGAGGTTTTCGGCTTGAACTGGCAGGGGAGGCAGAAAGGACTCTTCTCTCCATCCTCCCCCACCCGCCGGCGGCGTCCCCTCTCAGGCCCCGCACGGACCCTCCCGACGCTGTCCTGAGACGCATCCCCCATCCCTCGGGACCCCCTCCGAGGTACTCAGCTCCCCACGCGCGTGAGACGCTGCCCGAGACAGCCTTCCCCCGGGAATATTCCTCCCGGGGCTTTCCGGGAGCTGAGCTAGAAAGCCCTTCCCCGGGAACCTCTCCGATGGCACAGCAGAAAGTTTGTCTCCGTCCTTCAGCGTGGGAACATACTATTTCTCCCCAAATAAACAATGATCTGGTGATAATTATAAGAACGTGCCTTACCTGACATTTATAACAACATAATCCAGAGGAACACTGCACTCCTGGCTTAAACCGACATGTTTTAGTACAGCATTTATCCTTCAAGCATGCCTGGGGACACATCGCAAAACCACGTTATTCTACTTTTTTGCTCTCCCAGAGATTGTTACTGGCAGAGGTTCTCCTTTTCCTTCTTCTCCCCAAAAAGCTACACTGGGGCAATATCTAGCAGAAGAGGCAAAGCTGCGATCAGATCGATGCCGTCATAGAAACGATGTAAAACCCGACATCATCCTTCTCGGGCTGGCCTCTGCTTCAGTTGCGCCCTTAGTCTCAAGGGTTCATTATTCTAAACATAAATTGTATACATTTCGCCGTAATTCCTGCAGCACCCACCGCCGCCGCCCCGCAGTCGCACTGCTCGCCGGGCT